GTAACTAAAGTAAAAAGAACTTTGTATAATGTAGCCAAAAGGAATGGTGCGAAAGCAAGTTCTGTGCCTTCTTGAATACAAATAGCAAGAGGCAGATACTTCTTGGTGATCTTAAAACCAAGGACACGGAAGAAAAATTGACATAACCATATTAGGTAACATGCTACTTTTTCCTCATCAGTGGGTTCCAAAGCAAATTTTTGGTATTTCTTACCATAACTGATGTTGGTAACAATACTAAAGTCAAATTTCTGAGGGGTTAAAAGTGCACTTATATGTTGGCCAACAACAGGTAGGCCAGTTAAATGCACAACATCAAGAATGGTAGGGAAATCATACCACACCTCAGCATTAAGGAATTGCATGATATAAAGTAGAAAAAAGCTGCAACATTGATTGTCCATTTGTCCATGTCAAATTGAAATGTCGACAATTGAATAGCATCATAGATGCCCAAAGCTCTCCACAAGCCAACATCATATTCCATGATTCGATTCACCAATAGTTTTCAATTTGATATGGGTTTTTTCCATGAACATAGAGGGTTATGGCTGATGTCCCATTGATGCCAAGCTAGCTTTACTTTGTTGAGCAGTAGATTTTCGCTCTGAGCAATTGGAAAATATGGATCTAGTTCATTAGGGATAGTGGTGAGAAAACATGGTCCCAATTTCCCTTGTGAGGAATAATACAACTATCGAATTTATGTTTTCAAATGATATCTCGAATTTCAGATGGAAAACAAAGCACACGAGGAATTTCTAGAAGCTCTGGCTTATTAGTTTTTTATTTCAACTGAGTTATGTTAGGAGCCATGGTTAGTGTTCGAAGAAAATGAACAGAGTTGAGATCAACACAAAGTGAAGGAGCAAAAGTGATGTTTGAACTTGTTCAAATTTTTGTATTATATTATTTGAACTTTTCCTTCTTTTTGGGCCGTTTTATTGTTGGGCTTTTAAAATATACCATTATGAGAGATATTCATTCAAGGAAAAACATAGTTTTACCTTAAATGAGGGGGGGCATTGTTGGCACCAAAATTTGAAGTTTTTAGTTGACAGGTATGAAAAGGAGCAGGAACATGAGCTGTAATGGCCCAAGAATCGTGGACGCAAAGATAATGGTTTAGGGAGAGAAATCAAAGGCGTGACGTGGCTATTCCAAAGAAAAAGAGGAATTGAGAGCAATTGCAATAGTTACAAATCGTGGGCAAGTGGAACATGTAAGTAGATGGACAGTTGGCTACATCTCTTGGCCAATGTAATAGTATAGAAGCTGGGAATTCGAAGAAAAAAATACTTTTAACCCAATTCACAACACTTGTGAAATTTAGGAGTAGTTTAACTTATCTAGGAGTAGTTCAATACATGTAACTAGGAGTAGTTTTTAGCAATTAGTTCCAATTCTTGTAACTTGCTCTAGACCTGTTGATTGTAATGCTTAAGGCTTGTAATTTGAGAGGAATTGAGAGCAATTGCAATAGTTAGAAATCGTGGGCAAGTGGAAGATGCAAGTAGGTGGACAGGTGGCTACATCTCTTGGCCAATGTAATAGTATAATAGCTGGGAGTTCGAAGAAAAAAAGACTTTCAACCCAGTTCACGACACTTGTGAAATTTAGGAGTAGATTAACTTATCTAGGAGTAGTTCAATACATGTAACTAGGAGTAGTTTTTAGCAATTAGTTCCAATTCTTGTAACTTGTTCTAGACTTGTTTATTGTAATGCTTAAGGCTTGTAATTAAGAGATAAGTTCGGGTGCTATTAATCAAGTTTTAGTTGTTGTTTTACTCTGTTTCTTCACATTACAACCTCCAAAGAAGTCGTTGAAACTATCAAGACGTAGGACACTAACCACAATTGCTTGATTTATTTGTTGATCTTAAAAATTGATTTCTTTATCAAGTCAACCCTATTAATTTGGTCCAAACTAAATTTTGCTAATAGGTTGGCAAGACACCAACAAACAACACTTCCAACACAAACTAAAGTTTTACACCCACATATTTAAAGAAGGTCAAAGTTACAATGAAAGAGTAATGCTACAAAAATTAAATTTATATTTATTCATTCATTGAAAAAAACAACTAGCCTGTTATTATAGTTTATAATTATAAAAATGTCACACGTATCCTTTTTTATGATGCTTCTGTGTATATATATATATATATTGTAAGATTAGCATGTTCATCATCAAATCAATGTGTGTTATTTTTTTTTTATTTTTTTAAACTTTTCAATTAATTGAACATATATATTGTGATAAATGTACTAGGTAATCTTAGAATATATCATGTGACATTACTTATGTTATACTTCTATCGAATAAAGAATCATAAAATAGATTAAATAAGTTATTTTTTCCCTCTTAATTATTTAATAAAAATAGTTCATAAAATTGTACCACTTATAAATCTCTCGTTCCAGGTAAAGAATAATATGTGGTCTTTTGACCTAGTTCAGATCCTCTCTATCCTAAATATAAAAATTAATTTGATGAAATAAACACAAAAAAATCATATATTTTTTAAATTCTCAAAAACAATTTTCATTCAAAAAAAAACATATGAAAATAATTTTTTTTCAAAAAAATAAAAAAAAACACACACACACACACACACAAATCTAATCTATGCATATGTGCAAGTGTAACAAAGTATGTTTTTTATTTTCTTATGATTTTTTTTGGAATGAAGAATGTTTTTGAGAATTTTCAAAATATATGATTTTTGTGTGTTTATTTCATCAAATTAATTTTTATATTTAAAAAATAATAATTTCAAAACATAACTAAACATAGTAATTACTTTTTATTTATTTTAATTTTTTATTAAATATATTTAATATTAGTCTCATTTTAAAATTATATTTTCAATGATATTTTAATTTTATAAAATTAAAATTTTATACTGAAAATTATATATATATATATATATATATTATGAAAATAAAATGAAAAGATTAATTTTTTTTTTTAATTTTTAATTAGAAGTTTGAAGAGAGAGACAGAGAGATTTTTGTTTTGTTTTTGCTTTTGCTTTTGTTTGATTTATTTTTTATTATTGTTATTTTTTTTTATTTTTGAGCTAATCTGAGTTACAGATTTTTAGTGGGATTACGTGGCCGAATCTGACCCATCTTCCAAAGGAAGGACTGACCCATCTCCCAAAGGAAGGACTGGAGAGAGGGTTGGAGAGAATCTGAACTCCTTTTGAACTACTTAATTGGCAACACGCACATGGAGGAATTTTATAGCTTGTAAAGGAAGTTGGTATCTATTGTTTGATTTTTCAAAAATTGTTTTTGGATGAGTTCTCCTTTATTTTTAGTGATATTTTTATATATTTTTTGATTAATTATTTTTTGTTTATATTTTTTAGATGCAACTAAAATGTTTTAAAAATGATTAATATATTAAGAAAATCATTAAAAGTAAACAAAAATTTGTGTCCATTTTTGTTTGGATTTTCATTTGTTTCTAGTGAATTTTTTATTTTAATTAAATTTTTTTACGTTTTAGATATATCTAATCTTGATATATCTAAAAAAAATGACTAAAATATGAAAAAAAAAATTAATAAAAACAAATGCAGACACATCTAAAAATAATTTATGAAAATTGTAACGAAGTGTTGGTTTTTGTAGCAAAGAAGATGCTTAAACAAGGCAATGATGTGAGAGAGAACTTTAGTAGGTGGTGGTGAGTAACATTTGATTTGATCAAATTTATCAAATTAATAAGGGTTAATTGGTAAAATGTCTAAATTTATTGATGATATGTTATTTGATCTAAACTTTAATCATTTTTGGTAATACGTGTTGAAAGTCATCGGTGGCCAGCAAACAGCAATCAGCGACAGGTGGCAATGAGGTGAATACATAGATAAGATTAGACATATAGGTAAATAAATATGTGATACGTGTACAAATAAATAATATTTGGATAGATATATGACACGTGTACAAATATGTGTCTTTTTGGAGAAATAAGTGATGTTCCTTTTGGAAGATAGATGTCCTTTCGACTAGATTAATATTCTTTTGGCCAAAAAAATTTAAACTTGAACCTATTAAGACAAAAAATTTGGAATTGAACTTCCGACGGCTTGAGTGCCAATTATTAAAGAGAAATTATAATATTTTTTAAGAAATAAATTTAATGATTAAAAATTAAAATAAAAATTAATTGTGCTCAAATAACATAAAAACTATTGGAGTGAAATAATTATAAAAAATAATTTATTTACACTGTAACAAATCACCAAATAACTTCAAGAAAGTAATTTGGACTTCCACTATTGGATTTACGCTTATCAAGCAATATAGGCTTGGTTTGGGAAGTAGGTTGGCTTTTTGGCTTTTTGATTTTTTTGATTTTTTTTGTGAGAGAAGAATGTAATGATTATAGGTTGGATGTGATGTTTTGTTTGCTATGGCTAAAATAGCCTATTTTATTTTTTGTGGCTAAAATAACCAAAAAAAACCTGAAAACCATCTTACCAAACAGAGGCATAGTAGATTTTTCAGCCGTCAAACCGCGTACCCATTATTTGTAAAAGCAAAAAAATCAGAATTTTTTAGGCCATGCATCATGGTGAGCACTTTCAACCACAAAAATCACAGGCTCTAAAGTCAATAATAACTTTATTACAGTTGATATTTTACATAACTCATACATATTTAGGCCAAGTTTGGGAAGACTAAATAAGTGCACTTTTTGTCTTTTTAGACTAAAAAGTTGAGGTTGAAAATATGAATGTTTGGGTTAACTTTTTGACTTTTTATGAAAAAATGTGTAATAAAAAATTGTAAAAATTGATTTGTAGGAGAAAATTAGAATTGGGAGTTGTGCAGCCGTAATTGTTGACTTTGGTGAATAGTGATAATTTTTTAACTTTTTGAGTAACTTTTTGACTTTTTGGATGTTCCCAAACTTGGCCTTAATAATTAACTGCTCAAAATCAAGCAACTCCGTACAAATTTAAAGTTAACACAAACTCATCCTTGCAAATACAACAATTATATCATATATATATATATATATATATAATTTGACGATGAAACCTCCATCACCAAATCGTTCTCTATATCAATATACCTTTAACAATATTATATGATGAGAATCTTGAAATATATATACATCAACATATAATTATATGATTGAAAGTGCATTGAAATAGGATCACGTATCATATAATCTAGTTATTCTCATAATCACGACGATCGTCTGCTTAGTCTTCGTTTGGCATTCATGATTTGGACTAAAATAATCAAAAAAAAATAAAATAGGTTAAAAAACTAATAGACAAAATATCATATCCAAACTATAATCATTTCATTTTTTTTTTTTACAAAAGTAAAAAAAAATCAAAAAGTCAATCTCAAATGAGGTTTTTTAACCCCAGGCCAGCCTCGTTTGGAAAAATATGTTATTTTAGTAACTTTTTGTCATTTTAGCTAAAATATAAGGTTTAAAAAAAAAACTAATAGGCTTATAATGGCTTTTTGATTTTTTATGAAAAGATATGTGTAAAGTAGAGAGAAAATGAAATGTTTGACTTTTTTATATAGATTCTAGGTTTTTTGATTTTTTTAATAATTTTTTTACTTTTAAACTGAAACAAACACATGCCAAACGAAACCTAAAATAACCAAAAAACAAAAAAACCAAAAAGCTAACTCACGTCCCAAACTAATTAGGAGAGGGGACCAAGTCTCTTGAAAGGAAGATTGATAGGAAGATTGGTAGGAGATCACAGAGAAGAGAAGCACAAGGATGAAACCAACACGCCACGGAGTTCCACCAGCCATATCAAGAGACCACCGCCATGGCCCGGTTCCAAAGTTGGAGAGGACACGCATAACAAGCAGAAGTATCAATGGTGATACTATGAACACAAGTTTGATATGATCAAAGAGACCTTCAAACATGTACTCATAGTTGATGTACCATGAAAAGCTTTTGAGGATGAACAATATGACAAGGACGAAGAACAAGTGTATTGGGAAAGGAGAGGGATCTCTAGACATATCTAACAAGCTTGGCAGCGAAAGGTGCTTAATTGCAAGGGTTTTTTTATATTTATTTTTTATTTTCCTTAAGAAGCTTTGTTTCTTGGTAGAGAAATATGAGAAATGTGTTACTATGTTACTTGGTTTGAGAAAACTAGTCCTCTGATTCATATAGAGCGGTGGTTTGCTTACTTTTGAACATTATTAAGTGGGTGTTTGGAAAGTGGATTTTTATGTAGATTTTTTTAGTTGTAGGATATTATTGGATAAAAAAATTTTGGTGTTCGGAAAGATAGTTGGGTTTTTTTGTGGTTAGATGTAATGTTTATGAGAGAAAAAGTGAAATGATTATGGGGTTGGATGTGATATTTTGTTTGGATTTTGTTTTTTTTTTTTTTTTTTTTTTAAAAAGTTTGTCTTTTAGTGTAAAAAATCAAGAAGAACCCAATCCATAAACTTCCCAAACATCAATGACAAAACCAGGTTTTTTTAATTAGCCTCCGTTTGGGAAGTGGGTTGGCTTTTTGATTTTTTGGCTTTTTTGGCTATTTTAACCTGGGCTTAAAAGCTTGATTTGGGAAGTGCTTTTTGACTTTTTGAATTTTTTGAGTTTTTTTATGAGAGAAGAATGTAATGATTATGGGTTGGATGTGATGTTTTGTTTGTTATGGCTAAAATAGCCTATTTTATTTTTTGTGGCTAAAATAGCAAAAAAAACCCAAACCATGGCTTCCCAAACGAAGCCTTAGTCTGTTTTGAAATAACTTAGGCTCGTTTGGCAACAGGTCGGTTTAGTGAAAAAGTCAAAAAGTTACTAAAAAATTCAAAAAGCCAATAACTCATACTAAAAAGTCAAAGATTCTCTTTTCTCTATACTTTTTGCACATCTTTTCATAAAAAGTCAAAAAGTTATTCCAAATATACTAGTTTTTTTTAACACATATTTTAGCTAAATAGCCAAAAAATTACTAAATTAGTCTGTTCTCAAACGAGGCTTCATTGTAAAATGAAAGTTGATAATTTTAAGAGTATTTATTCTTTTGTTTATCTATAATTTTTTTTTTTTTAACTTATGTAAACTATTTCTATCTTATGAGTGTTAGGAGAAACTGTACTAAAATTTTGAAAATTTGACATTCTCGTACAGATTTCCAAAATAAAGGATTTATAAGCAATCTCACAAACTTCAACAAACAATTATCAACAAGTTGCCCCAACTTAAAACTATTCAAACCTACTCTCATCAGTTTTTATCATCATTTATCATTATTTACCTTTAAATAATTATAATTAGCCTTGTTACTAAATCTCCAACACAAATAATGTAAAGAAAAATTATATATGTCACCAAAAATATTTCAAGTTTTTTCACATTTCATATATATTTACATTTATAAGTAGCCTCAATCAAATTGTCAAAATAATAAAATTTCCTCCACCACATGAGAAGACTTTTTTGTTTTTTTTGGGTAGGTACATGAAAAGACTTGTAGGAAACGAAAAATCCGTTCCGATATTTCGATGATTTTTATAACAACATTCTCATATAATCAATGATATATAGTATTTATGTAGAACATATAGTATTTATGTAGAACGTGTTTTGATATTTTGAGAAATGTTATTTGTCATGACATTTATTTTTCAAATTTATTTCGCCTTTTACAACCGTTTATTCATGTAATAAAAAATATGTAAGCTTAAAATTTTTTATATTTAGACGTCATTTTGGAACAGGCTTTTTTAGTCATTTTTTTATTTTTTAGCTAAATATGATATAAAAAAAATTAATATGTTTGGAATGATTTTTTAGCTTTTTACGAAAAGATATGCAAGAAGTAGAGAGAAAATCTTTGACTTTTTTGTATAGATTGTTGGCTTTTTTGACTTTTTTAATAGTTTTTTGACTTTTTGACTATAAAAACACTTGCCAAACGAAGCCTTAAAAAACAAATAGTAAGACTTATAGTATATTAAAAATCAGGTTGGGAAAATAAAGAATTATTATCAGTGGCGGAGTCAGAAGTTTAATGTAGAGGGATACATATTAATCACAACATTGAATTTTTTTTTCCTCATAACAAGTAATAACGAGATATTATTAAATTTATACATTTTTATTATTTTTTTATTACAATTATCCTGAGATTTACATTAATGTGACTTATAAATTCACAATTAATAACTAAATTCTATTAACCAAATAATCAATAAATTCAATTCTACCAACTTAAAAAAATGTCCCACAATGAAGAGAAATAAGCAACTAAACAAATCCTATAATAAGAAATGAATTATCAATTGATTCAATTCTTGTCTTAACCTATCAATTAAAAGTGTACAAGAATAATCAAAATAACAAAATAAAAAAAATTTAAAATTTTAGAAATACAAGAAATTTTACATGATTTAAGGAGGATCACTATTAAATTTTATAAATGATAAATAATACATAATCTTTATTTATATGAATAAAGTATAAATATTGAAAGTTTAGGAGGTACATGACCCCCTTAAGCCTTACCTTAGGTGGCTCCGCCCTGGTTATTATGATATATAGCCATCTTTTAAATATATATTTATTTTTTTATTTTATTTTTTTGGGATAAATTACACTAACTTCTCTTAATTGGAAGAAAATACATTAAGATTTATAGTTTGTCATAATTACACCAACATCTGTTGTATTAAAGTTAAATATATTAAAATTAATGTAAATATACAAAAATAAACAAGAAAAATATATTTTAATATAAAAAAGATAAACAGTATCATTTTCTAATTAATAGAATTAATAAATTATTGATAAAAATAAAATTAAATATTATGTAATTTAAAATTTAAAAGAAACTTAATATAATTATGATAAAATTGAAAGATATTTTTTTCAAAATTATGATAGAGTAGTGTAATTTATTCTTTTATTTTATTTTATTTAATTTTTATTTTGAAGGAATTATGAAGTGGAAAGTGGTGAGTGATGGATACCGTCGACGTGGGGAAATTATATAATATTTCTTGAACATTACATGTGATTTAAATAAGATGATGTGATTTAAATAAGATAGTGATTTTTTGACTTTTTAACTTATTTAGTACATGTCAAACTAGCCCTTAATCATCAATTACTTAGTTTCTTATTATTTCTCAATTTCTAATATAAATTATGAGTCATTATTCCTCTCCATCAATTAAAACTTCATAAAAGTTCCGTTTGGGAAGAAAAAAGTCAGGCTTTTTTGGTTAAAATAGTCACAAAAAATAAAATAGGCTATTTTAGTCACAAAAAACAAAACATTAAATCTAACCCATAATCATTACAATCTTCTCTCACAAAAAAAGCTAAAAAAGTCAAAAAATCAAAAAATCCTTCTCAAACCAGACTAAAATAGTTAAAAAATCAAAAAATCAAAAAATCAACTCCCTTTTTCAAACGGAGGCAAAATAACATATATTCAAATTCTAAAAATATTGAATAACCACCCGTCGACGTGTTAGAGGATTCTTTCTTTTTGGAGATGATACAGATATCTGAATCCCAAGGAGAGGCGGTGGGAGTTTCATATGGATCAGTCATTTTGGTAAAAGTTGGCAAGTCACCGGCTGACACGTGCCACCAACCTGGACCACATGTTATTTATCTATTTAGGAATGATTTGAAATGTTCTAAATACATATACTTTTTGAATTTTTAAATTAAAAAAGTTGAGAAAAAAAAGATAGTTATTTGAAAAAAAAAATTTATCTTTTTACGAAAAAATGTATATTAAAATATTGTATAAAATAACAAAATTACGTTTTTACCCCTACATTATATACTTATAAGACAGCAAGAGAATAGTACGATTTGGTTGAAATGGTGCATGAGGCTTCACAGGTATTGTTAGGCCGTGGGGGCCCACCACTGGTCCTATTTCGATAATCCGAACCGCTTAATGTGTAGAACTCGTTGAGTACTATATATCTCTGAAAAATCACTTTAATCGGATATCGATAATTATGTGATCAAAATAGTTTTGTATAAAATTAATGGACGATGAAAAATAAACGGCTGAAAAAAATCTAATTTGATCACATAGTTTTCCATATCCGATCAACGAAATTTTTTTCCAGGCATATAATAATTGACGAGTTCTACACATTGAACGGTTCGGATTATTAAAACGAGACCCATAATGGGCCCCCCACGGGCTCAACATTACCCTTCAACTTAATGAATATATATATATATATATCTAATTTTCTTTTCTGTTCCTTTGACAGACCAATTCGTACTTATGAACCATCAATTCAGTACCAGCACTGTCAACTCGTTGGTTTGTATTAAAATATTGTGTAAATTAATTTTTTTATATTTTTTATTTGTGAATAGTGATAATTTTTTAACTTTTTTAGTAACTTTTTAACTTTTTAAATTTTTTCTGGTATGCCAAACTAGGCCTGATTTTTATATATTTACATACACACAATAGATTTAAGGGTTGATTGGGGCAACCTAAATAAATGCACTTTTTGACTTTTTATGAAATATGGATTGAATTTGGGTTAGGTTTGAAATGATGTGTTAGAGAGGTGATGTGACTTAAATAAGATGATATGACTTAAATAGAATAGTGACTTTTTGACTACTTAGTTTTTTTGAAACTTGTCAAACCAGCCCTTAGGATCGTTTTAAGAAAATAGTTAAAAGTTGATTTTTTTTAATTTTTTAATTTTTTTGAAAAAATGTGAAAAAAAATGTGAAAGATGATATGATTTAAAATAGATTAAAAGTTGAAAGATGATTTTTTACCATCTACCCAAAATAGCCCCTGGTAAGATGGAGATGCATTATTGGCCTTGTTTGGGAAGTTGGATATTTTAGTAGATTATTTTAATTTTTGACTATTTTAGTACGTTAAAATTTTTGTATTTGGAAAGATAATTGAATTTTTTTTGTAGGGATTTTTGTTGATAAATCCATTTTAAAGTTGTTGTAACCCATTAGGTCCACAAAAGATTATTATAGCCTGATTAGTCTCATGTACTTATCCTTTTATTTTATGAGGTCCTTTTTACTTATTTTATATTTTTTTAATAGACTATTATGCCCTTATATATAGTGTTGATACACATACCACGTTTTTCTATTTTCCTTGCTTGTTTCAAGGCTTTGATGTGTTAGGGTTTCATTGTT